CTCTCTCTCCTTCCCTCCCCCCCCCTCTCTCTTCATCTCTCCCTCTCTCTCCTTGGCAGAAAAATGTTCTGATATAATCGTGACAGCGATACTTTGCACCCCTAGGTCGTGAAAGCAGACATATTTTCAGCAGAAGAACTCTCAGAGCATTTCCGGGGGCAGGAGGTGGTGCTGTCGTGTTTGGGATCTAGATCCTCGTTCCGTGCGCCCGTCACTCTGTATACGGAGACCATGAAAGCAATAGTTGCCGCGATGAGAGAGACGGGCCTCATCAGACTGATCTGTATGACGTCATGGTGCACAGAATGTGAGTCACACCTAAAGCAATTGTTGCGTAGAGAAGGTGTCACACCTAACGCAATGTCAGCAGATTGTGTCTGTTCTAACAACTAACACACTCAGTCATATCAGACAATATTAACACTGATAATATTTACGAAATTGAAAGACGGTAAATCTAGAGCTATCTTGTGTTGCTGTGTATATGTGTATAAACAGCTTCATGTACAGGTACTTTCTACAAGCTTTTTAATATTGAGATGTTAAAGTTAAATTAAAATTGTTACTTGATGGCAAACATCTCAATATTAGCCCGATTCCTTATATAATAACACTTCCCCTTTCCAGCACTGCCGGGTAACCCGTGGTTTATAGAGTGGATTTTGAAACCCCTCGTTCTTAAGAGGACTCTAGTAAACATGGCTGAAATGGAACATTTCTTATTCGACGACTGCCAGGATATCAACTTCACCATTGTCCGACCGCCTTCGCTAGGCACTGGGCCGTTTTCAGGTAGGAATCGAACTTCAAGGAGCTCTGTCTTGGCTTGGGGTTTGCAATAGTCGATATAGCCTTAAAGGCCTATATTGTCGGGAAGGGACTGTTGTCTATTGATAAATGAACTTCAGCAATTCTATTGATAATAAACAGCTGTTGAAAGGTGTCAGCATTATTTCTACTGAATTTTAAATTTAATATGACAAGAAAAACATTTAAATAAAATAATAAAAAATACACCAATTAGGAAAGCACTCAGAGAGCGCAAACCACATTTGAGGCCAGGTGGCATATGGCATCCTGCCAATATCGTCTGTGGTCTGTCACGTGCACCATTAAAATAGATAATACGTAATTACTACTGCTCGTGTAGCTTCGACACAGAGCACGTTTCATAGGAAATCTAAACCTCCCCCCCCCCCATAAAAAATCTTATCATTTCTTTTCTGAGCCGTTTGATGCCTATCCTGAAAATTTTATCAAAACCTGTCCATGATTTTGGATAATGCTGCGAACTGACAAACAGACTAACGGAACCAGGAACATAACCAGTGCACATTGTCAGATATGTAATAACCTTTTTATTTTTATTTTATTTTATTCTTTTCAGATTTGCCAATTCTGACCCACGAGGGGATGCATGTCCCCGGCGCACGCTGGGGACTCATGAACAGAGCAGATGTCGCGCATTTTATGTTGTCATTGTTAGACACTACAGAATGGGACAGAAAGGCTGTGGCCATACAGCGAACATCAAGGAGATAAACCCTACGGGAAGGAGTTGACCTTTTCAACGGGATGAAGTTCTCAGTTTCATAAGCATAAATTTAGAATTATTTTTATTATTTACTCACTTACGACACTTAATAAGCAGTTAATTTAAAATGAATTTATGTACTTTAAAGATATGACGTTATTGTTATATATTATTGCTAGGTCTTTGATAAATGTGCCCGAAATAATAAATATTGCTTTACTGAATTGTTAACTTTTGATACCCCCTGGTGAGTGGTAGGGTATTGAGTTACTCAGTGAAGTATGTACTCAATGATGCCATTTTATTGTCGTTGATACTGTGTTCAAATATGCTCAGGGAAAGGAAAGATTCGAGAAAACTTTTTTCTTTTTTGGCAATTTTCAACCCACCCCAAATAACAATAATGACGTCTTCGATGAATTGCCATTTGTATAATTGCCAAAGGATTAAGTCAGTGAGCACTGAAGATTTACCTTTAAATAATTATTCAAAACATGTACGTGAATGCAGTAATTTAGGAGTTTTTGTGTCACCTTGACTGTAACCTAAACGACATTGTCACGTTGTCTGTGTCTTTTATCTTCACCCAAGCCAGAGAAATAGTTATATACTAGATGGTAGTGCCTGGCAGCTTGTCCTTTTGAGAGAAGTTGCTCGTACATATTAAGTAAGTTGAATAGGTAACGGTTGACATGTCAGTAAGCTTATTCTTAGAATACCGTAATAAAGATCACGATATACAACACACAGGTGCAGGAGCTGTAAGGTTCGGGGGGGGGGGGGGGGGGTAGGGGGATAGGCCCACCCTAACCCCTCCCACCACCACCCTCAGATTACAGCATTTTCAACTACCTCAGTCACAAGCGAAGTAAGAAAGGGTAGCCCCCCTTCCAATTAACCCCACAAAATTTGCTTTTCATGTGGTTGTTATAAATTGCTTTTCAACAGCCGCATTAACGCGTTAAATCTATACTTTGACTTCCATTCTAATGTGTCGACTAAGAAACAAACAAGGTACACGTGTCTATTCACTCGGTGAAATGTAATCTGTGGTGTACGTTGTCATAATTGGGGTCAATTAGACAAGCTTTCAGCAAAACAAAGTTCGGTGTGGAAAACTCGAGTCTACAGGTAAGACAATATATGAAGCGCGTGCGCGTGTGACAGAGAGAGAGAGAGAGAGAGATAGAGAGAGAGAGAGTAAGCTCAATTTGCGGTCGAACTGCGCAACTAGATTATTTTATCTGGTGGCCTAGACGTTATCTTATTTGTACCTCGTGACACACATTCAGTGTTCAGTTGATCAAGACCCAGANAGACAATTTATGAAGCGCGTGCGCGTGTGACAGAGAGAGAGAGAGAGAGAGAGAGAGAGTTAGCTCAATTTGCGGTCGAAATGCACAACTAGATTATTTTATCTGGTGGCCTAGACGTTATCTTATTTGTACCTCGTGACACACATTCAGTGTTCAGTTGATCAAGACCCAGAATTAATTTTATCTCGACTGATCATAATTCCAGAGCACACTGTAAGGTAAGTGGCATCACAGACACATTACCCCAGCTTTCAAGGACCACAGCTCAGAGAGGATTTTCAAGAATTCGTCCTGTATATCCTAATGTCAGGCTAATGAGCCCGGTTAGTCAGTTTAAATTAAAATAAGCCTGCTCAACAAACATGGCAATTGGTCGCCGCCCCGATTGACTAGCACGTGTAGATTTTATATACGCCCCTCTGTCGAGAAGGCAATCAAGACTTCATAAGCCGCCTCAACCCCCCCCCCGAGCAACCCCTGCCTGTTTCCTGTCAAGGTCAAGCAAGGTCAGGCAAGGTCCTTTATGGTTCTTTCTTTCCCGAGTTTTAGACTGTATTCCCACATATTTTAAATCGATCTATCCCAGTGAGGAGTCTCTCTAGATTGCTGTCAGCTTAGCAGGCGTAAATGTCTGTCCCGCCTACTAAAAGCTGTAAGGGGGTAATTAACTTTGGCGCGCGCTCGGCTGACAGCAATTTAGCGTGAACCCCCAGGGAGTTAGGTCGATCCAGATGGATCGATCTAAATCTGTGGGAACCCAGTCTTAGAGTAATACGACTGTTCTTTTCCACGCAGTGATAAAGTCACGGGTTATGTGCTTTGTGACGATTAAACGGTGTCCTTATTTAATATTACATTGACATATATATTCAGAGCATTTATAATAATAATAATAATAATAATAATAATAATAATAATAATAAATGAGTAGATAATGTTACATCTCAAAATGTCATGAATGTTAACGGTCATAGTCTTTGTGATAATTCCCAACAGTGACAATGCTTCTTAACATGTATATGTCAAAGGCCCCAATCAAATCTAGTCCTATGCATATAAAGCCCAGACCCCCTGTTGATTACACCCTGGCTGGGCCCATTCTTAAAGGTGTCTCTGCATTGTTAACAGCATAATGGGCAAGTTAATTGACCAAGTTAATTGGCCAAGCTCCCAGTCTGTTTGTAGGTGTAATTATAAAGGGGGTGTCTTAGACCAAGTTAATTGGCCAAGCTGCCAGTTTGTTTGTTTGGCATGTGCAGGGGATGTCTCAGATTAAGGCACATATTATGATACTTACAGGTACTAACAAATGAGACATAGTTGTATTTCATTACCTGTGATTTGTAAAATACATCTGAGGATGATACTTTAAAAGATGTTTAATGTTTAAAGAAAAGACATGCAGATTGATTTAGTAACATTTACTAAAGATATGTTAAATTAAAGATGGGCTCCATTTGTTAGTGTGTTATTTTGATTATCCAGATTTTATACAGATTATAGGAAAAATTTTGCCCATTAATGTTTTGTTGATCTTTTGGGGAAATGTCTGCATTTTCTGAAGGATAGATTACAAAGAAAAGTGCGAATTAATAGCAAAACTTTGCTCTATTTGCAGGCACAGCTATAAAAAAAACTCCGTAAAATTATAATATAATATTTTTATTTACATCATAATCTATGCCAGGTCTGAACACTGATAAAGTCGATTCATTAGGATACAATACTAATAAGGTCTGAAATATATCTTTCAATACCATGACTTACATTCAACATCAATCTGAAAGCTTAAAAGTTTTTTCAGTATTTTGAGTGTTATCTTCTGTGAGTAACTTATATCTCAGATTTGTATTCTTATTTTAAATATATAATCAATCAAAAATGGATAGTAGGCTTTGCAAACAATATAGTAAGAAAAAAAATTAAGTTTCCGGTCTATCAGCTAGATATTTGAGTATCCGATAGCACTAGTGCTAACCCCTCCCTTCGTTTTCTAAAAAAAAAAAAAATTAAACCAATGGTCCACTCTTGAAATTTGAATTTTCACCAACTGAATCATAGTTCTAAACCGTACCAAATAGCACCGTTCGCCTTCTACCAAATTTTTTCGAGGCCCTTCAGCGGTCCCCTCAGGGGTCCCCGATACCCACGCCAAGGGGGGCGGGGGGGGGGGAGGGGTTGGCTTCAAATAATCCTGGATCCGGCTCTGCAATAGTGAACACATAATGTCAATGAAAAGTTTATGATAAAGTTGTTCTTCTACTACTTCTTATTATTATTATGATTGACAATGTTACTGTAATATATATATATATATATATATATATATATATATATATATATATATATATATATATATATATTGTGAACGGCTGTTCAAGGTTATTTCATCTATAGAATACACTTTTTAAAATTGTTCTCAGAAAGTTGACCATGAAGCGTCTGGTAGTTCTGGGAGCAACAGGACCCTCGGGACAGGAAGTGGTCAAGCAGGCCCTCAGCGCTGGACATCACGTGACAGCGGTGGTCAGAAACCCTGACAAACTGGACAGTGTCCAAAATGAGAATCTAAAGGTAATATAATATAATATAATATAATATGATATAATATAATATAATATAATATAATATAATATAATATAATATAATATAATATAATATAATATAAGTTTCTTGTATGAAACTTATGGCAAGGAAAAAACACGTGAGGTCAATAATTAATATTCAAATCCCCCCCCCCCTCTCTCTCTCTCTCTCTCTACTTGGGGAAAATTGTTCTGAGATGTTCATAAAAGCGTTTATTTTCACCCTAGGTTATTAAAGCAGATGTATTCTCAGCAAAAGACCTCTCGGAGCATTTTCGGGGGCAGGAGGTGGTCATGTCGTGTTTGGGAAATAGAGACCGTGCGCCCGTCACTCTGTATACGGAGTCCATGAAAGCTATAGTTGCCGCGATGAGAGAGACGGGCCTCACCAGACTGATATGTATAACGTCATGGTGCACAGAATGTGAGTCACACCTAAAGCAATCGTTGCGAAGAGAAGGTGTCACACCTAACGCAATATCAGTAGATTGTGTTTGTTCTCACCTAACACACTTCCATTAAACTTCTTTGTTTCGGATAGACCCATGTGAATCATATGATAAACTTATAAGTTGCTCATTCATTAAACAAAGATTAATTCAGTGTGACACTTGAATTACTTCTGTAATAGTCCTCCTTTGCATCCAGCTTTCTTATTTTTGACTCACTGACAAATTTATCTCATACTGGTTAATAAAAAAATTACGAGCAAAAAAAAAAAAAAAAAAAAAAAAAGGGATTCACAAAAAGAGTTTTTTCAATGGCTTTGGAAATTAAGGGTTTATAATGATGATGAAAAGGAAAATTGTTGTAGATTCCCGGATATAATCGTTATATTTTTATTACATAAATAACAATATAAAATGTTTAAGTCCTATGGTCACTGTGTTCCTTCTTTATGCATTCATTTATGGATATATGAATAATAATGGACTCATGGATATTTATGTACTAATGGATATTTATGGATATTTGTGTTTTTCCAGCACGACCTGGCAACCCATGGCTGATAGAGTGGGTAATCAAACCTCTCTTTATTGGAAAAACTGTGGCCAATATGGCTGAAATGGAACATTACTTATTCGATACCTGCCAGGACATCAACTTTACCATAGTGAGGCCGCCTGGTCTCGGTACTGGACCAGTCTCAGGTAGGGAGGAAATTGATGAGGTCTTGGCTGTCAGGAACCAGGGATTATAGAGGGTGTCACTTGCTTGGCCATTTTAACATCAGTAGTACCCAACCTGCCTTAAAATTTATATCCACCACTTGTTCCCTATATAATGTACTGTAACTGAATGGTTTTCCTCAACTCAACTAATTACTAATTTTTTATCCTTTTGCCCCCCCGACCCCCCCCCCCCCAGTGAAACCCTGGATATATTGCGTTATCATGAACTTTACATTTTTACCTCTGCTGTGGATGTTATGAATTCTGTTCCATTGGTTTGTTTTTCTGTAAGCAGCTATGAGCCCATTGAGAACTGCAGACTAAGTGATCAAATATGGCAACCTACTACAATTTACAAAGCTTGTTGCTTAAGTCCTGATTAGACACTGAATAGATTCCCTGCGGGGATTATGCAACAAGCATTCAAGTGGGTCGGCCATATTTGATCCGGGGGTCTGTTAGTCGGCTGTTCTGAATGTGCTCTGTGACTATAGAATTTCTACACAAAGTACACAGGTCATGTAGCTTTTTGACTTCACTCATTCTCAGTTTTTGAATTAACAAGAGAAAATAACACCAGTAACTTAAGACTGCATTTTTTCCATTTTCAGATTCCCCCATTTTGACCCATGAAGGAATGCATGTCCCTGGTGCACCTGGAGGTAGGATGAACAGGGCAGATGTCGCGCGGTTTATGTTGTCACTGTTAGACACTTCAGAATGGGACAGAAAGGCTGTAGCAGTACAAACTGGACCAAAGAGATAAAACCCTGTCAGTGAAGAGGGTTATGATAAAAACTTTAAAATTTTGACGATCTTGAAAATTTGTTGGAAGAGGATTCTGTGCCGATATGTATTTTTTTAACTTTGAAAATTTTGTCAAACTTGAAAATGGGCTTCTTGATAAATTTGAAAAGTTTGTCAAACAATATGTTAGTGTCGGATTCATCCATTTTAAAATATGAATTTTTAAGTGATGAAATTTTCAAGTTTTTACTGTATGTTATCTGCAAAGACAAGATTACTCAAGAGTTCTTCACAATGATGATATAGATTTCAGCAGGGGCAGTTATTCAAGAGGGAACGAAGTGATTTCCACCGTAACAAATTACACATCTCTTAATATTTTTTAAATCTTATTTTAGCAAAATAAATTTGCCCCGGTGGAGGTTTGAACTGTGCAAGTGGTCTCAGCTTAATTGTGATATTGAAAGAGAGGAGATAATAAGAGGTCATGTGAACTTCATTGATCTCACTATACTGTGACAGCTGCTACTGAACAGAGGATAATTCAACAAAAATCAAATGATATACTGGTCAGGAGAAAAAATTGGGCCTTTTTTTAGAACAAATAATGTAAGATTTAAATATTACATTAGTGATGTTAATCTCATGTACAATATAATCAGATTTTGTACACTATAAAACCTAAATTTGCTTTTCAATTCAAAACGGTTATTTTAACAACTTACTCTTAAAGCATTTTTGTCATGTGACATCTTATTAAAATGAAAACATGTACATGGATTTTGTGAAAGAGAGAGGGGGGTGCATTAGGAGAAATAAATTGACATCCAAATACAGTTGCTGACTAGCTTTATTATTTCGTTTTTTTAAATCACAGCTCAAGTTGATTGTACGACAGGATAAAAACACCAAGCTTTGTAAATCCTGACCATATATGTTAGTAAGTTGTAATACTGTATATACCTCAGCACAAATGCATGTTTCTTTCAAATTCACCTATAAAACTGCAAAATAAGAATACTCTGAATGAGAACAATGAAAACAACTTGAACACAGTCATAACAAAGTGTCATCTTCAGTAAGATTTGCGTACAGCATATCAGGATAACTAATAAACAGCTTTTGTTTTCATTGCAATTATTATAATACTTAAAAAATAAACTAAGACTTAATTTTTGGCAGGAGACCATTCTTCAAAACTGTCTCTGAGTTAGGGAAAGGATGTGCGTTATTTTTGAAAATATTGGCCACAGGTGGCAGCAAGAGCCAGTCGGCTCAAAGTTTTCCCCACATACTGTTGATTATATTTGGCAATGTCTGTCTGCAGATGACTGTAATGTCACGCAGTTATCACCTCTTGACAGACCCTTGTTCAGAAGACGTATGAAAATAAATATATATTATATGTATGTATATATTAGCCTTCCTGTAAATCAAATTACCTTCATAAGCATTTTACAAAGGTATGGTTTTATAAGGATTCAGAATACCATTGGGATCAAATAATTTCTTCATTTTCACCATCATTTTGACAGCATTGGGCTCTTTGCTGTAACGTATGCAGTCCCTCTTCTTGAAGCCAAGTCCATGTTCTGCGCTCACACTGCCGCGAACCTGCGATGTCCACTCGTATATGTAGGGCTCTATGAGCCCAAGAACCTCTTTGTCATACTCTGGAGTTGTGACGTTAAAATGAAGGTTGCCTGGAAGAATATTGATTTAAATAAATTTTAGTTTTCAGGAATTTGGACCTTTCAATTAAAAAAATTAAACACTTGTCACTCGGATGATAAATTTTCTGACATTGACAGGTATAATGAAACAAAATCAATTTATATGTTATTTGGAAGACGTTTACTACACTATCCAGTTATAAAATCACCATTTATGTATGTCCACATATGGTATAGCAAAATGTAGTGAACAATTCTCGTTATTTACTCTCAAAGTCAAGGACAACTTTTTTTTTTTTTCAAAATTAAAAACAAATGTATCAAACATGAAGATCGCTTACCATCTCCTAAATGACCATATGAAACCACCCGTGTGACCTTTGACCCCAGCCTCTGTCTCATGTCTTCCACAATCTCGTAGAGCTTGGGCAGGGGAAGTGAGATGTCATATTTGTAGTTGTACCCATCATGCAGCAGTCCTTCCGCGATACGCTCTCGTAAACCCCAGATATTCTGAAAATGGGACATTCAAGCCTTAATTACTATGAGTTAATGGCATTTAGGTGATTTTTGGAGCTGCATTTGCATGCTTTTAAGAAGCTAATGGTTAAGGAATGTAGATGAAGCATTTTAGTGTACTGTTAATGGGCCTCCATTAAAAGTCACTCAATCCAAGCTTAACCTTTTTTTTTTTCTCATTAGTTTGTGTGTGTGTAGGGGAAGGGGGGGGGGAGCTTTTCCTATACAGAGTGAGAATATATACAATAAAATCTTTCACATTAAGTCCTAAATTAGTTTTTGTTTGAAGAAAATATCATAATTACTGAGTGATGATAGCTGTAGGATATTTATTTTTAATTTTAATATTCAAAGTGAGGTGTGATCCACTGACAGTTAAAAAAAAAAAAAAAAAAAACAAGACTAAAAGCTGACATATATTAAATAAGTTGTTTCTTTCAATGAAAAAGATGATGTCTGACATTTCAAAGCTGACCACAATTTAACAAAAAACAATCCCAGAATGCAGCTGGTTTGAAAAAAAAGCCTCAATCAAGGAGTCACCTGTCTCTGTGTTACATCCATAGCTATCGTTCCGTCTTGCACAATCCCCTTCCCCATAGCAGCCTCCAAGAACACATTCAATTTCTCCTCATCATGGCTGCCATGGGAACCCGAGGTCTCGATCAGTATGTACAGTGGGTAAGACTTGATTGGATTGGTCAGTTTCAGATTTTCCTGGATACACTGCATGGATTCCTGGTCCATGAACTCACAAGCGGACAGGATCTCCGCCAGCATCCCCTTGCACAGCTGAAACGTCTGCAGGGCGGCCTCGAAATTTTCAACACCTGAAAAGTTGAGATGGACATCTTTTAACAATGTTTAAATTAGTGTTGATGATCTAGTGTTTTATGTCTAAATAATCATAAAAATGAATTGTAGTTCATAAATGAATTTTTAAATCTAACAAAAAAGTGCAGGGATATTTGCTTCGTACCCTGCACTTTAAAAACAACATTTTTCACATATCAATTACAATGTCACTACTTGCCAATATGAAAATGTATGACACAGTAATAAAACCCTTCAATAAATGATATGACACATAAAATATGGACCAGTCCACTTAGTCAGTGAAACATCCACCTAAAAGTTACAAAAAAAATTACCTAGAAAAGCCACGTTAACAGCCTTTGGTCTTCGCGGACAGAGAATTGATACCGAGGTCACCATTCCCAGCGTTCCCTCAGAACCAATAAAAAGCTGCTTCAAATCATAACCCGTGTTGTCTTTTCGCAGCGAAGAGAGACAATCCACTATTTCACCACTGGCTAAGACCTGTCAATGAAAACTTAAAGTGGAAATAAATGTGATGGGATGAATGATGGCCCAGCCTCTACGGCTGTAGCTTCATACTGGAGATGGTGACCAATAGTCTGCAATGTGAAGTCTGGAATGTGAAGCATGCAATGTGAAGCATGCAATGTGAGCCTGCAATTTGAAGCCTGCCATGTGAAGTCTGCAATGTGAAGCCTGCAATGTTAAGTCTGCAATGTGAAGCATGGAATGTGAAGTCTGCAATGTGAAGCATGCTATGTCAAGCATGCAATGTGAAGCATGCAATGTGAAGCATGCAATGTGAAGAAACAGACTCAGTGGCAGGCTGGCATTCATACTGTCACATATACATTTATCTGTAGCCATGTACTTGTGAAATAAGTCAAAACTATTTTTCTCATCCCCTTGATCTAAATATTACATTTCACACACACACATGCACACGCACACACATTAAACTTTCAAAGGTACCTATCATGTAAATTCTGTTTTCACATTTTCAATGTTACGATGTCTTCATGAACTTTATCATTTATTTTCATTCTCATCGGTTACCACATTGGTTTAACCATTAACTTAATATATATATAAATAAATGGACATGCTTACTGCTTCCACTCCCAGCACACTCCCATGAAGAGAGCCGTATCTTAGCAACCGTAAACCGCCTGCATTGGTGGACACGTTGCCTCCAATATGGCAGCTTCCTTTGGCACCCAGGTCTAATGGCATCATGAGTTCGCGCTCAGCCAGATAGTTGTCTAAGGTCTCAAGGACGCAGCCAGACTGGCAGACAATGATGCCTATAGGATACGATACACAATTACAGGAACAAGGCATATGAAGTATGACAGAAGAATTTTAGGTACCATTCCCATAACCCTATCGTACTAGCAGGAACAATCTATCTCTGAGGGGATTCTCGCTAAATTGAATTCAGTTAAAGCGTACACAACAGATAATTACCCCTTAGCAGCTTCATAAGGCATGGCAGACATTTAAGCTGCTTAAACTGAATGCAACCTACTGAGAATCCCCTCAGAGTTGGATCGATCCTGCTAGCATTATAGGATTATGGGAACCCAGCCTTAGACTGTGAAGTTTAAACACATTTGGCAGACATTGCAAGCAAGCTGTGCTTCATCTAAATCTAAATAAAATAATATATGCTGACATAGGTTTTGGGAAAGTGCTTTTTTTCAATAAAAAATAGTCACTATTTGAACAAAGTTACTCCTATATAGCATACTGCTATATATAAAAATGGTAAAAGAGCAGGTGCTATTGTATTACATGCCAATAGTAAAATATAAACTGCCTTTTATTTGCAAGATTTCAACAATCATAGTATCTCTTCTTTACAACAGAAAGTTTTGTCAAATAGTGTCAATGAATGGAGTGAATGAATAAATGAATGAATGTAGAACAGCAGTTACTGGTTAGGAAAACAATCATTTCTCACCAGAGACTTCATCAAGACTTATAATCTGGTTCATAAGTTGCGTAGAAATAACAATCTCGTCAAAGACCGGGACACTGCCGCCTACGAGTCCTGTATTTCCTCCTTGTGGAACAACCGCTAGATGGCGCTCATTGCAGTACTTCAATATCTCTGCTACTTCTGAGGTTGTTTTGGGTCTTAGAACCATCTGACTGTTACCTACAAAAATTTTAAAAAGACTGGTTACAACGAGGTAATATTTAAAGAGTGCTACAAGACAGGCGTGGACTGAAAAAAATGAGTACTGCCGGGGTACATGCTGGTGGTACTAATCTAATATGTATTGGCCATAAACATATATAAAAAGATTATTATGTGATGCTTTTTATATGGCGAACAAAATCGTAAAACATTCCTGTCATTCTTTGCTAGTGGTTACAAAATGTTGAATTTGACCGAAAATTTCAAACTTTCTCTGTTAAGCNGCACAAAACTGGTGGCTGTGCTCCTTTATTTGTNGTATGGTGGGGTCTATACGAATGCGTTTGCTCCAGCTGGTGGTACAATATTTGGAGGCGGTATCGCCTCTCTGATCCTCTAGTTGTTATATATTATTGCTAGGTCTTTGATAAATGTGCCTGAACCAATAAATATTGCTTCATTGAATAGTAAACTTTTGATACCCCCTTGTGAGTGGGAAAGTGTTGAGTTAGTCAATGATGCCAATTTATTGTCGTTGATACGGTGTTCAGGTATGCTCAGTTAAAGGAAAGATTCGAGAAAAGTTTTTTTTTTTTTTTTTTTTTTTTTTTTGCAATTTTCACCTCACCCCAAAGAGCAACTATGACGTCTTCGCTGAATTGCCATTTGTTTAATTGCCAAAGGATTAAGTCAGTGAGCACTGAAGATTTACCTTTAAATAATTATCCAAAACATGTACGTGAATGCAGTAATTTAGGAGTTTTTGTGTCACCTTGTCTGTAACCTAAACGACATTGTCACGTTGTCTGTGTCTTTTATCTTCACACAAGCCAGAGAAATAGTTATACTAGATGGTAGTGCCTGTCAGCTTGTAGTTTTGAGAGAAGTTGCTCGTACATATTCATTACGTTGAATGGGTAGCGGTTGGTATATCAGTAAGCTTATCCCTAGAACACCGTAATAAATATCACGATATACACACTCAGGTGCAGGAGCTGGAAGGTTCGGGGGGCGGGGGGTAGGGGGTAGTCCTACATTACCCCCCCCCCCCACCACCACCACCACACCGCTCAGTTTACAGCATCTTCAACAACCTTAGACCCCATTTCCAGAGATTGGATCGATCTACTTTAGATCGACCTAACTCCCTGGGGGTTCACGCTAAATAGCTGTCAGCCGGGCGGGCACGAAAGTTAATTACCCCCTTACAGCTTATAGTAGGCGGGACGGACATTTAAGCCGGATTATCTGACAGTAATCTAGTGAGACTCCCCGCGGGGATAGATCGATCTAAAAGCTCTGGGAATACAGCCTTAGTCACAGGCCCCCTTCCAACTAACCCCATAAAATTTGCTTTCCATGTGGTTGTTATAAATTGCTTTTCAACAGCCGCATTAACGCGTTAAATCTATACTTTGACCTCCATTCTAATGTGTCGACTAAAAACAAACAAGGTACACGTGTCTTTTCACTCGGTGAAATGTAATCTGTGGTGTACGTTGTCATAATTGCATGGGGTCAATTACACAAGCTTTCAGCAGAACAAAGTTCGGTGTGGAAAACTCGAGTCTACAGGTAAGACAATTTATGAAGCGCGTGCGCGTGTGACAGAGAGAGAGAGAGAGAGAGAGAGAGAGTTAGCTCAATTTGCGGTCGAAATGCACAACTAGATTATTTTATCTGGTGGCCTAGACGTTATCTTATTTGTACCTCGTGACACACATTCAGTGTTCAGTTGATCAAGACCCAGAATTAATTTTATCTCGACTGATCATAATTCCAGAGCACACTGTAAGGTAAGTGGCATCACAGACACATTACCCCAGCTTTCAAGGACCACAGCTCAGAGAGGATTTTCAAGAATTCGTCCTGTATATCCTAATGTCAGGCTAATGAGCCCGGTTAGTCAGTTTAAATTAAAATAAGCCTGCTCAACAAACATGGCAATTGGTCGCCGCCCCGATTGACTAGCACGTGTAGATTTTATATACGCCCCTCTGTCGAGAAGGCAATCAAGACTTCATAAGCCGCCTCAACCCCCCCCCCGAGCAACCCCTGCCTGTTTCCTGTCAAGGTCAAGCAAGGTCAGGCAAGGTCCTTTATGGTTCTTTCTTTCCCGAGTTTTAGACTGTATTCCCACATATTTTAAATCGATCTATCCCTGTGGGGAGTCTCACTAGATTGCTGTCAGCTTAGCCGGCGTAAATGTCTGTCCCGCCTACTAAAAGCTGTTAGGGGGTTATTAACTTTGGCGCGCGCTCGGCTGACAGCAATTTAGCGTGAACCCCCCGGGAGTTAGGTCGATCCAGATGGATATCGATCTAAATCTGTGGGAACCCAGCCTTAGAGTAATACGACTGTTCTTTTCCACACAGTAATAAAGTCACGGGTTATGTGCTTTGTGACGATTAAACGGTGTCCTTATTTAATTAATATTACACTGACATATATATTCAGAGCATTTATAATAATAATAATAATAATAATAATAATAATAATAATAATAATAATAATAATAAAAAATGAGTAGATAATGTTACATCTCCCTTTCTTCAATCAAAATGTCATGAATGTTAACGGTCATAGTCTTTGTGATAACTCCCAACAGTGGCAATGCTTCTTAACATGTATATGTTAATCCGGTCTATCAGCTAGATATCTGAGTATCCGATAGCACTAGTACTGACCCCTCCCTTCGTTTTCTAAAAAAAAAATTACACCAATGGTCCCATCTTGAAATTTGAATTTTGACCAACTGAATCATAGTTCTAAGCCGTACCAAACAGCTCCGTTCGCCCTCTACCAAATTTTTTCGAGGCCCTTAAGCGGGCTCCTCAAGGGGCCCCGATACCCACGC